TGTGTGTGTGTGTGTGTGTGTTTGTGTGTGTGTGTGTTTGGGTGTGTGTGTTTGTGTGCGTGTCATGTATGTGCGTGTCTGTATATATGCATTCATGTATGTGTGTGTGTGTGTGTGTGTGTGTGTATGTGTGTATGTATCTTCTTCCTTTCGTTCCTCTGTTATATCTCAGGGGCAGTCTACTGCTGGTTCTTCAACCTGTAGTGCAAACGATTTTTACGTATGTCACCGTTTTTCCTACTTCAAGGGGACCCTTGCCTGGAGCCTATCTAATCAGCCGGAATCATGCAATAACTTGAAAATAATGTTGACCTCTGCGTTCTTTTTCTTACGATGTTGGTTTCTTGTAGGCCTTGGCTTTGGCCCAGTTAGTATCATGATGGACCAAGATGCTGTTGCTCCTTGTTCGAATCCCCACCTTGTGCTGATTGGTAATGTTCAAAGTTTTCCTTTAACTTGATCGGGTCCTGCATCGGAGAGGGACGACAAATTAGGAGGTTCCACCTCTATTCTGTATAAACTTATAACACACATTTGGGGGATTTAAAAGGAGCATTTAATTCCATCACATAATGTATACATACCTATCAAGCTGATTCCACCAGTCATTGGCCCCGACTTAACTCCAAACGTGAACCAGATGGATCTGAGGTTAAGAAAATTAAATACAGTAGTCTGTGGCCCAATAGAAACCGAGACAAGGATTTTCAACAAGAGTACCAAAAGTGAACTACTTCTATAGTCTATGTATCAGAAATGCGGCAACTTATTTACTTTACTTTACTTTTCCGTCCTCTTGTACCACTGGGGCGTCGAGAGGAGAAAGAAGAGCTTCCAGTCTCTAGCAAGTTTGATGGCCTGGCTGGGTGGGATATTGAATGTTCTCAGGGTATCCTTCACACCCTGAATCCAGGTCTTTCTTGCGGAAACATACAAAACAAACTTTTAAAACGTTACAGGAATTTCATGAAAGTTGCTTAAGAAAAATAAGTATAATTTCATTGGCCTGGAAGCGTAAGATCAATAACGAAACAACTAGGGTAATTTGTATACATTTAACACCACTATCAACACTATTTGGGTTATTTAAGAGGCAGGACCTCCGAATTTAACGTCCATCTCCAAAAGGACCGAACCACGTGGGAAATTCGTGTAAAGTGCTTTTCTCGAGGACACAACGTCGGACCTAGCTGAGGCTCGAACCCCTGAACCCGCAATGTCACGATTACGAGTCCAGTAGCCTAAACACCAGACCACCGGCGCCACTCGGAACAACTATGGGAACTATAGGACCGAACAAATCACCAGAAAATGAACATAAATCGGAAATTTAGAAAAAGGAAGTCGATTGGGCACACCTTGAGAAAACCAAAAAGAAACATAATTATCCCACCAAACTTTAGAATAGAAGCCGCAAGGAAAGAGAAACAAGGAAAGGCCATGGCGACAAATCAATTCAATTCCGCAGAACCGGGTGCAGAGAAGACAGATCATCGATAGAACATTGGAAGTTTTGGGGGGTTTTTTAAATAGTCGCTGTTGTCTAAGATAATAGTATCAAGACATACAATACGATATCTCGTCATCGACAACTCATACTTGATTTTTTAGAAGTCGGCACAACACTGTTTGTAGCATTTATTATCCTTTTTCTTTTAAAGAAATTCTTTGTTGGAGCACGTCTTTGTTCTTATCCTATACGTCACCCTCAAGATATACAGTGTCAAACATTCAATAATGAACATTTGCATTACATGAATAAATTTGAATGAATTACTAAATGCCAACGAAATTGCGTTCGCAGCTAAGAGGAAATATTATTAAAACTTATGAAACCAAGCAAAAAAACAAATATGTTAAGGCTTTGACAGAAATCCGGGTCCTAAGTTTATTCTCTAAAATTTCATAAAAGATTATACCAAATTTACAATTACAGTCATGCATAATACACATAATTTTCCGAAGAATAAAAAATTAAACCTGCCTGCTTTTTCATTTTCCCATTGCAGAAATCCCCATCCGTGTTCGCATTTCCACAGTCCCATCCTTTCTCATATTGCAAAAAATCCTATTATTTCTCACATTGCGAAAATCTCCACCCTTTCTCACATTGCAAAAATCCCCCACCCTTTTTCGCATTGCAAAAATCCCCATCCTTTCTCACATTGCGAAAACCCCCATCTTTTCTCACATTGCGAAAAAACCATCATCACCTTTATCCTCTGTCATCCCCACACCACAGCCACCATCATGCCCAAAGGCTTCCGCGCCCGCCTGGAGCCAGCCTCTCACCGCGTGGTGGCGCTGGAGACACGTCGGCCACTGTTCTGCCTGGCGTTGTCCGGCACGGTCACCATCATCCTGGCCACAGTGTTCGCGGTGAGCGCCTGGAACCTGCGGCAGCACAAGTTCAACCAGAACATGCTGGACTTCCACAACGGTGACGAGGTGGCGGCCAGTGTCGTCTGCAACGACTTCTCCTCCGTCTTTTGTGATGCTTTTGAGGTAAGCCTTTCCCTGACAAAAGCCCGCTCCGATCTGTTATCTATTTATTTTATTTTTTTAAATTGTTTTATCTTTTTATTTATTTTATCTATTTTCTTATTTATTGTTTATTAATTAATTAATTTCCGTACAAAACGATTTATTTATCTTTTCGTTCTGTTGCTTATGGTTATTTTTTAAAGGCTATACTATCATTACCGTTTAATCAGTTTATTTGGTGTATGTTTTCTTTGAAGTTTCATGTACTCAGTTCTATGGACAATTTAAATATATCATATTATGGGAAGTTGAAACCTCGAGTGTTGGCCCCACGACAAGACTCTCCACTGAGGAGAGGGGAGAAATGTACCATTCCGAAACTTGTTACGTATTTATGGGTCCCCACTCACTGTGGGCCCAGCATTTATCTTCTTTTTTAAATTAAAGTCGGATTTTATCTACCTAATTTCCTTTGCTTCATTTCATATAACTTTCTATCTTTAAAAAAAAAATTATATTTTCTTAAAACAGTCGTAAGAAGATCACCTGGACAAACGGCCACTCCACATTTCCTCACGTGTGTGTATTCTTTTACATTATAATGACACTTTACGTCCACCACTTTTCCCATCTAGGGTAGATGGCCATCTTCAGCACTTTCGACTACATGTATAATAATGTATTTCCTTTTTTATGTGGTACCTTTATTTTATTTTGCTTTTACCTCAATTCATAATCAATGTTTTTCCTCCGAGATCTCCCTGTGGGAGAGAGCCAGCGTGTACCTGCTGCCCGACACGGCACAAGTGAACACCAGCGACAAAGTCAGCCTGCCATTCACCATGAACCAGATCCCCACCCGGTTCGAGAACTTCCGGGCCTTCTACCTTCTGGAAGGTTCCTCTATCGTCCTGGACGCCTGCAGACAGAACGGGTCGCGTCCCGTGAAGGCAGACATCTGTGTTCTGAAAGGTAAGATTGGTTGATTGAGCCTTTGCGGTTATAAATTATCTTTTCCTGATACAGGAGCTGTTGCCCTAACTCATCCCATAAGCTGTTATTTAAACAACAACAACAACAACAACAGCAGCAGCAGCAACAAATGATAAAATCAAAGCAGCAGAATGATCTTCATCATTTCGATTACTCTACTCTACGCCATCCTTTCTCTTGTATCGCTATACGGGGTGCTCATTAAGGGAATCGGGTCGGGACGGGGCGGTTTGCTAGCCAGATTGGCGTGCCGATCGCGCCCGACTCGTTGCCTCGAAAACAAACGTGTGTGTTTTCAGGCGACGAGTGGGGCGATCCTGTACACTGACGAAAATGTGATACCACAATAATTATCTTTAAAAAGTTACCTGAATGTGTCATCTCATAAACTGTTATGAATCAACAACAAACGATGAAATCGAAGCAGCACAATTATCTTAATCACGTTGTTAACTTTATTCTATTCTTTCTCTGGGCAAGTCGCTACCTTATTAGAATTACAAACTTCTACCTGACGTTTTTGTCCGTTTCGAGTTACAAAGACCATGAAATCAGACAGCAAGTGCTCCATCTGCTCTATCAAAATCATAAGAATATGCAGAGTCATTATCAAGATATTCAAATAATTGCATTCTCAAAAGATTGACATAATAATTATTATTTTGAAACTCAAAACTTTTGACGTCAAATTTCTCAAAACTAGGTATTGAGCAGATAGAACTTTATTGTATTCTATGGTAGCGAAGTATCGTTAGATTTCGAGGGAAGATGCAATTATCTCTAGAGATGGGCGGCTTCTGTTTCACGCCATCCAGCCAAGAATAATTATAATGGACGGGGATGTCAAATATTTAGGTCATGGTAACATTAGATCACCTCCGTGTTCTTTATCCTAAGCAAGGGGCGGCTACAGAAGATATCATGACGTGTGCGTCCTCAACGTCTGTCTGGTGAATGAAAAAAAAAGAAAATTCCAACAAACAAAAATCCCCCAACGACCAGAAAAATGCCCTTGTCCTTGATTGCATTACAACTCAGATATAGCAAAATAGAAGGGACCGGCCGTTTTCCCCTGTTATAAGCAAGTCATGTCATAACCGTTATCAAGGAAAACTTCCATGAGTACCATTGCACCGTCAGCCTAATACATATTATATTCGATTATCGCAGATCCTTTTTCCAGTGGGCTGTTTTTGCTGACACTAAGACGGAATCGATCAGTGACCCCAACATTTTTGGAAGGAGGGGGGGGGGGGGTTATGTGTTTGAAAGTTTGTGTTTAGGCAGGCGATCATATAAACAAACGAAATGTCTAGGTTGAGACAAACTTTAATAATTTGACCGACCGAAAGCAAGTTCATGCACTCTAAGATTACTCCGAGTCTGGGCAAATTGAACCCTTTCATATGTGAGGCAGCGTGTTGGAATCGGGCTCTCGTCAATTTTTGGGCATGTAGAGTTAATGGTATCATCTTAACACTTGTTTATTTGTCTTTATTTGGGTGAAAAAAATATCCAATTATCTTGAATACTAGTCGAGATATTTGCGAATGAAGGGGGTGGGGGTCACATGTTTTCAGATGTAAGATTAGGGAGAAAATTGCCCACAAAGATAAGCTATTTCCTTAGCTTAAGAGTCCGTGGTAACTGAAAATTTACTCTTTTTAAAATCTTTTTTTGCCTTTTATCAACGTTTTTCAGAAAAAAATCCATACAGAAATGAGTTCTTTAATGCGAATGAAAGGTGTTGAGCCAAAAAAAAAAAATTGAAAAAAAATCACAAACCTGCAGAAAAATGCCAGTTTCTTCACTTTGATTATTTTGACGAGAGCCTGATTCCACCACGCCGCCTCACATATTACTTACACTTGTAGACGGAAAAAAAAACCCACTGGGGATTTGATGTATCACTGTTAGATCTATATCCAAGTTCTTGTAATACGACATGTAACAGAGGCTGTCATAAATGGACTGGACTGTATTTTGACGAGCGACTGATTTCCCCACGTTGTCTCAATAAAGACAACAACCGTTTACTCTGTCGTCAGGGAGAGACGGGTTCCGAAGATACCACGACGCGCGTGACACTCACGTGTGCCTGGTGCACCAGTCTGTGCCTGTGGACGCCCGCTGTGAGCCGGGAGACGACACGGGAGGGCCGGTCCATCTGCAGGTCAACGTCTCCTCCAGCGACACCTACTTCCTGGTGGTCAAGTTTGGGCGGTAAGCAGAAAC